TGCAGGCCTTCAGCCCAGATCCCCTCTGGGATTCTTGCACTTATCTTCTGACCAGGCTCTCTGTTGACAGACTCTTCCCTCCAGAATTCACTGTGCAAACCACCACCAAATCCTCACCTTAAAATGGGAAGTTATATTTAAAACTTTTCTAGCAGCGTATTCCGTGGCATGAGAAATGTTTACCTTTACAAATTTTGTATAAATATATATTACAAATCACACAAAACTTTAACAGTTGCTCTCTCTGGACGGTAGGATTATAGATAGCTTAATTTTTTTCTTTGCGATATTTTTCTATTTCCCAAGTTTTCATTGGAAGCCTTGGATGCAAGGTTCTGGTCTTCCCTGCTTTTATCTTCCCAGTTCCCAGTGGTTTCTGAGGTCTGACCTGGTGAAGAGATGGGTGTGTGGGGCACAAGAGCAGAACACGGAGCCCCCTTTCTCAATGACACGTTTGTATTCAAAACCACAGGCTTTCTTTCCCACCCCGAGTCCAGAGCATCATTATCTCATCTGAGGCAGGGCAGCCGGGACCTTCAACCATTCTTGTAAGCAGGGCCAGCATCATGGATGTGCCACCTCTGCAGTCACACAGGGGCCCACACTCAGAAGGGCTTTCTGCTGCTATGCTATCTCAAAAGTTTTGATTTTGTTTTTGAACCTATGTTTTGTATGTGAAATCCGATGGGACAGTGGAGTATGAGCAGAAGGCATATGCATGCATTGCACGTCTGCTGTTCTTGCTGCCCCATGAGCACAGAATTCCGGTTGTCCCACATGATTTCGAGTTCAGCAAGATGTAAGTGTATTTCATCTTTGATTAAGTTGGGGCGCTGACAGCCCTGAGAGGTCATACTTTCCATTCAAACCAGGACTGGTTTTGAAGGTAGAAAAAGGGCCATGGTATTCTAAAGACATGAACAACCAAGGAATCTTATCGGAGCCTTTGTTTCTTTTGATACTATCTGTATTAGCCAACCACATATCCTGAAAATGAAGACATAGGAGGAAAGGGAAATCTTAGGGCACCCCATAGTTCCTTTTCCTTTTAATCCTTCCTTATTCAACAGTAAGTTGAAGGTACAGGGTTGGTGGAGTGAGCACATATCAAGAAGTGAAATAAAAACAAGTGAATTAGTTTTGTGCAGCGTTTCCACTGTTCTGGTAAGAACGAAATACATAAGCACCTACAAGCTACGAAATATGAATTAGATCATTTTAGTGATTCTGCTTATAAGTTAAATGCTCTTATATTTGAATTTAAAACTGATATTTCACAATATAAAAATAAATGATAAAATTCAGGCTAATATTTTCAATTATTGTTTACTTAGAATAACATTAAATAACAATTTAAAAAAAAAGGCAAGGAAAGTTGAGAGAGAGACTGTGGGAAAACCTTTAACAGCACTTTTTTTGGGCCCCTAAAATTGTAGTTCCAAATCTATGGTTTATGTTGCCTTGCAGCTCATGAAAATCCAGGGCTTTTCTATAAAACTCTTGTCTCTGCTGTGGCTACTTAAAGGCCATTTCGAGACCTGGAAGTCAAGAGAAAACTCTTTTCTCTAAATCTCTGCTGTGCAATATCCATACCCCGAGGGAACAGGCTGGGGTAGAGAAAATGTAGGAAAACCACACTTGTTAATATCTCAGAATACTGTCCCCCCTATATTAAAAACAAAAAACAGAACAACACCTAGCAACCATAAATTCGTTGAAGGCAAGGACCTTCTTTCTCTTGCGCTTAACCATAGAGCTTTCCTTTAATAGGGACTTAATAGTTGTCCTTTTCCTCAATAAATATTTGCTCATTTAAATGTAAAGTGCTCTTTCATCATGCAGTTCTCAAACACCTTCAAAGCCTCCCTATTGCCTTAACCTACAAATTGAAACTCCTAACCAGGCATTTAAGGTTCTATAATCTGGGTTCAATCTACTTTTCCAAATTAATCTCCCAAGACTCCCTAGAACTCCGTCAGTAATGGTCGCACAAATACGGAATGACTGGATTACACAGCTCCTAGGAGTTATAGAAACTACAGATGGATAAATCATTAGCCCTTTTACGGTTAGGTTTAGGTAATACATACGAGCTAACATTAATGTCCCAATATTGGGAGCCAGTGATGAGTGTTATACAGACCCTAAATGGGAGTCATTAAGATATTCAATCCCGAGAAGAGTCATCTCCTCAGGATCACATCCTGGCTTCTGCAGAAATCAGGGACCCAAAGCTAGCTGGGTCCCTTCTAGCTAGGTTAGAAGCCTGCAGCTGTTGTTCAGTCCACCGGGAAGGGTGTGGGCCGCTGGGCCTCACGTGCTGCGCTGTGGAGCTCCCTACCTGGGCTTAGGCAAGTTCCTGGACTTTAAGGACCATGAAATCATAGCCATTACTAAGTGTCAGAATTTCACATGCTAGTAATGAGCCATTAAGGAAAGCTTTGGGCAGAGACAAGCTTTTAAGGCAGTGTAACCCAAGCAGGGGCTATTCTCAGTGTACCTTGGTGGGAATCAATTGTGTTTCCAACATGCCTGCGTGGGGGAGATTCGTAACCTGACAGGGCTGGGAGAAACTTGAAGAGCCATTGCATCCATGCCCTTGTGTTTAGTTTAGAAAACTCCGAAATCTTTTTAAAAAATTACCTATCTATGCCCAAACCTGGTAACTCCTTCACTTGTTTGTCAACCCTGATTTCAGAGAGCTATTTCTGATATCTAACCTAAATCTCCACAGCTAATTATCTTTTTCCATCTCCTCCCTCTCAGTCAACTTTAAAAGGCCATTGTGTCTACTGCTTACTGACACACAGCTAATATTACAGTTACTGTTATTGTTTCATCCTTACAGTTGTTACTAGCATTGACAGCACACTAGGAGGTACAGAAAAAATACATAAGCAGGGCTTCCCTGGTGGCGCAGTGGTTGAGAGTCCGCCTGCCGATGCAGGGGACACGGGTTCGTGCCCCTGTCTGGGAAGATCCCACATGCCACGGAGCGGCTGGGCCCGTGAGCCATGGCTGCTGAGCCTGCATGTCCAGAGCCTGTGCTCCGCAACGGGAGAGGCCACAACAGTGAGAGCCCGCGTACCGTCAAAAAAAACAAAAAACATAAGCAAACACATTTCTAGATCAGTCTTGAAATACAGCTTTTTAAAATCTAGTAATGTTTAGGTGTTCCTGACTTGGAAATGGGGAAGTAGGCAGATGTGAGAAGCAGAGTGGCAAGGGTGTATTCTATATCTCTGACTGTGGCCACTCCTCAAGAGCCATCACTTACCTCCCACCCAGCCTGGGAAGGAAACTTAGAACCAGATAAATGTATATTAAACACGTATAGGGGAGCAGGGAGGCGATTGGGGATGGCATGGTGGTAGAAACCGTGGGGGCCTGCGAAGGAGTCCACTCCGGGGCATGGTGGGGAGGGCCTACATGAAAACTGCCACAATTTCATGTGAAAACTAGGAGGAAATATTTGAGTTGAAAATGAGTCATAACAGCACCTTCCTTATCCTTCCCTCAAAGTGCCCGGCTAAGAGCAGAAATGAAAAACACTGATGCATCCTCTAGTGAAAGACATCCCAAGGCCTGGGGCTTACACCATCTTGTTGTTTCTTACTGTTTTTTACTTATAAAACATTTTAAAGATTTATCCATGTTGCAAGATGGACACTTAGTGCATTACTTCCAATAGTTGCATGTTATTCTATGATATATGCTACGTTTTATTTAACCTTCCGTAATGCACAGGTGATATATGCTGTTTGCCAACAATATGCTGCTACTTCAATTGCTGCTGTGATGATTGTCCTCGCTTGTGCCCTTTTACGGACTTGTGCAAGAGTTTCTTAGAGGTATGTATTCCCAGGAGTGGAACTGCTGGGCCACAGGAAAACACATACTACATTTTATTACATATTTCCAGATAACTTCAAAACAGCTGTACCAGGGACTTAACTCCCAATAGCAATGCATGACAGTTCATGCTTCCTCCCATCCTAGCCAACACTTGGTGTTACCTAACTTTCACATTTTTGCCTATTTAATGGATGTAAAGAAGTGTGTTGTTGCTTTAATATGCATTTATCTGATTATAAGTGGGATTGTATATCTCTTCACCTACTTTTTTAAATTGAAGTATAGTTGGTATACAATATTATGTAAGTTACAGGTGTACAATATAGTGATTCACAATTTTTAAAGGTTATATTCCATTTATAGTTATTATAAAATATTTGCTATATTCCCATGTTGTACAATATATCTCTTCATCTACTTGTTAGTCTCTCAAGCTTTCCTTCTGTAAATTTGCCTGTTCATATCCTTTGGCTATTTTTCTATTGTGTTTCCTGTTTTTTTCTTCTCAATATAATAGGAATATAATTCCTATTATATCCTAGACATTAATGTCTTCTTGGTTTGGAAACACCTCTCAGTCTATCAACTTTCTCTTAGCTGGTCTATGATGTTCTTTGTTAACCAGAAACTTTAATTTTGATATAGTCAAGTTCATCATTCTTTTGGTTTTATAGTTTATGCTTTCAGAGTCTTATTGAAGAAATCTTTTCCTATCCTAAGATTCCAAAGCTACTCTTCTGTTTTTAATTTCTATTAGCTCTATAGTTTTCCCTTTCCCTTTTAGGTTTTTTTATTCACTGAAATTTCACCTTTCCAAATGGTATGAGATATGGATGCAGCTTTACTTTTCTCCATGGTGAACCAATTTTTCCAACATTATCTATGAAACAAAACTTGTGTTAGGTTGGATTATTATTCCCAATCCTTCGTGTCCTCCATGCTATAGAATTATACTCCCATGCTCTTTGCCATGTGGTTTTGCAGCACCTTCCGCCAATTTGTTAGACTTGGCCATGTGACTAATTTGGTCAATGAAATATTAGGAGATGGCAGCAGACGTGTTAAATGTGTTTGGGTGATGAGACTTCATCTCTTGAGCTCCTGTCATTGCCAGAATGAGGCATGTGATAAAGACCTGAACTAACCTGTGTCCTGGAGCAAAGCCCAGCTGAATTCGGCTGAGTCCAGCCAAGTCTTGACCAGACCAGATGAGATCAGTAGAGACCTGTGAGAGAGAAAAAACAATGGCTGCCATAAGCCACTGGTATTTCTGGGTTGTTCATTACATGGTATTATTACTGCAGCAATAGTTGACTATCTCTACATGATTTTCTCATAGATTTGTGATGTTACCATTATCACATACCAAGTTCTCATAGGTAAAAGTGTTGTTTCTGAGTTCTCTATTCTGTCCCACTGTTCTACATGTCTGCTACTGTGACTTATGTCATTATCTGGAAGGGTAAATTTCCCCTCTATGATTTTTGTTTTCAAAAATGACCAGATTATAATGGAATTCAATCTTCCGTATGTATTTGAGAATGTTTAAATTCTTCAAATCCCATTAAAAGTTTGAATGGTTTGCACTGAGTTTATGAATACATTTAGAGATCACTGATATCTTAAGAATGTTACTCCTATCCACAGACATTATATACACCCCTATTCAGGTCTTCTTTGAAGTCTGTTAATAGCATTAACATTTTTTCCCATGAAAGTTTTGTGCATTTTTTTCTTAGGTTAATTCCCAAAGACTTTAGAGTTTTGTTGCTATTGTAAGAAGTATCTTATTTTCTAGTTTGTTAGTATTAGTATGTAAGTATACTTTTGGTTTTCATGAATTGATTTTGAATTTGGGAATCTTGCTGTATCAGGATAAGGTTTGGCTATCTGTAACACCAAGAACACACATACACAAACCAAAATAACAGTGGCATGAATGAGATAGATGTTTATTCAAGAAGTTCCAAAGTTTGGAGGTAGACATTTTAGGGCTGGTGTTAGTATAGCAGGTGCCTTCTTTCTTGTTCTGCTATGTGTGGCTTCCATATTCAAACTCAGCTTACGGTCTAGGATGACTGCCGAAGCTCCAGCTATTGTATCTTCATTTCAGATGGCAGGAAAGAGGATGAGGCACATTCCTTCCTTTTAGGAATGTGTGCACCAGTTCTGCTTTTAACCCATTGCCTGGAACATGGCAATACTTAGCTACAAGGGAGGCTAGCAAATGTTATCTTTATTCTGGTTGGCCTTGTGCCCCATAAAAAAAAAAGTAGTTCTTTGGAAGAAGGGGAGAAAAGCATCTCTGTAACCTTGCTGCATTCTTTTATTATTTCTAATAGCTTATTGTTTCTATAAGGTGTTTTATGTGGTTGATCATATTACTGCAAACAATCCCAATTTTATCTCTTTCCTTCTGATTCTTCTATTTAATTTCTTCTTCCTTTTATTACAAGTCTTATTTTGTCAGCCAGGGCTTTCAATATCATGTTAAACAGCAGTGGCAACCTTCTCTTGATCCTACACTTAAATGGAATGTGTTTAAAGTTAATCAATTAATAATATTTTGCTGTACATTTTTGGTCCTTCATAAAGTTAAGTAAATTTCTTACTATTCCTAACTTTCCTGAAAGTTTTTATTATTAATAATGATGCACATTCTCGAATGATTTTTCTCTCTTATTCTTTTTGAGGTGAGTTATTTGGATAGGTTTTCTGATGTTAAATCATACTTGAATTTCTAGAATAAACCCTACTTATTATGTTTTCATGATAAATGGCTAGATAGGTAGCTAGACAGGTATATTCTAAAGAGAAGGAAATGAATATCAAGGGTTTTCCCAGTTCACTGGAGTAAGAATGTTGGATTTGGTTAGTTAATATTTAGAAATTTTTGCATTTATGTTCATAAGTGAAATGGGCCTATTTTTAAATTGTCCATTTTCAGATTTAGGGTCTAATTCTGCTGTTTTTGTTTTTTTCCTTCTCTGCCTCCTCTTGCTCATGGTGGCGTTTTTTTTTCTTTTTTTTTTTAAAATATCTTTATTGGAGTATAATTGCTTTACAATAGTGTGTTAGTTTCTGCTTTATAGCAAAGTGAATCAGCTATACATATACATATATCCACCTATCTCCTCCCTCTTGCATCTCCCTCCCACCCTCCCTACCCACCCCTCTAGGTGGTCACAAAGCACAGAGCTGATTTCCCTCTGCTATGCAGCTACTTCCCACTAGCTAGCTATTTTACATTTGGTAATGTGTATATGTCCATGCCACTCTCTTCGTCCCAGCTTACCCTTCCCCCTCCCTGTGTCCTCAAGTCCATTCTTTACCTCTGTGTCTTTATTCCTGTCCTGCCCCTAGGTTCTTCAGAACCTTTTTTTTTTTTTTTTTAGATTCCATATATATGTGTTAGCATATGGTATTTGTTTTTCTCTTTTTGACTTCCTTCACTCTGTATGACAGACTCTAGGTCCATCCACCTCACTACAAATAACTCAGTTTTGTTTCTTTTTATGGCTGAGTAACATTCCATTGTATATATGTGCCACATCTTCTTTATCCATTCATCTGTCGATGGACGCTTAGGTTGCTTCCATGTCCTGGCTATTGTAAATAGAGCTGCAGTGAACATTGTGGTACATGACTCTTTTTGAATTATGGTTTTCTCAGGGTATATGCCCAGTACTGGGATTGCTGGGTCATATGGTAGTTCTATTTTTAGTTTTTTAAGGAACCTCCATACTGTTCTCCATAGTGGCTATTATCAATTTACATTCCCACCAACAGTGCAAGAGGGTTCCCTTTTCTCCACACCCTCTCCAGCATTTATTGTTTGTAGATTTTTTGATGATGGCCATTCTGACTGGTGTGAGGTGATACCTCATTGTAGTTTTGATTGGCATTTCTCTAATGATTAGTGATGTTGAGCATCCTTTCATGTGTTTGTTGGCCATCTGTATATCTTCTTTGGAGAAATGTCTGTTTAGGTCTTCTGCCCATTTTTGGATTAGGTTGTTTGTTTCTTTGATATTGAGCTGCATGAGATGCTTATAAATTTTGGAGATTAATCCTTTGTCAGTTGCTTCATTTGCAAATATTTTCTCCCATTCTGAGGGTTATCTTTTTGTCTTGTTTATGTTTTCCTTTGCTGTGCAAAAGATTTTACGTTTCATTATGTCCCATTTGTTTGTTTTTATTTCCATTTCTCTAGGAGGTGGGTCAGAAAGGATGTTGCTGTGATTTATGTCATAGAGTGTTCTGCTTATGTTTTCCTCTAAGAGTTTGATAGTGTCTGGCCTTACATTTAGGTCTTTAATCCATTTTGAGTTTATTTTTGTGTATGGTGCTAGGGAGTGTTCTAATTTCATTCTTTCACATGTAGCTGCCTAGTTTTCCCAGCACCACTTATTGAAGAGGCTGTCTTTTCTCCATTGTATATTTTTGCCTCCTTTATCAAAAATAAGGTGACCATATGTGCGTGGGTTTATCTCTGGGCTTTCTATCTTGTTCCATTGATCTATGTTTCTGTTTTTGTGCCAGTACCATACTGTCTTGATTACCGTAGCTTTGTAGTATAGTCTGAAATCCAGGAGCCTGATTCCTCCAGCTCCATTTTTCTTTCTCAAGATTGCTTTGGCTATTCAGGGTCTTTTGTGTTTCCATACAAATTGTGAAATTTTTTGTTCTAGTTCTGTGAAAAATGCCAGTGGTAGTTTGATAGGGATTGCACTGAATCTGTAGATTGCTTTGGGTAGTAGAGTCATTTTCACAATGTTGATCCTTCCAATCCAAGAACATGGTATGTCTCTCCATCTGTTTGTATCATCTTTAATTTCTTTCATTGGTGTCTTATAGTTTTCTTCATACAGGTCTTTTGTCTCCTTAGGTAGGTTTATTCCTAGGTATTTTACTCTTTTTGTCGCAGTGGTAAATGGGAGTGTTTCCTTAATTTCTCTTTCAGATTTTTCATCATTAGTGTATAGGAATGCAAGAGATTTCTGTGCATTAATTTTGTATCCTGCTACTTTACCAAACTCATTGATTAGCTCTAGTAGTTTTCTGGTAGCATCTTTAGGATTCTCTAAAGATTCTCTAGTATAATGTCATCTGCAAACAGTGACAGCTTTTCTTCTTTTCTGATTTGGATTCCTTTTATTTCTTTTCCTTCTCTGATTGCTGTGGCTAAAGCTTACAAAACTATGTTGAATAATAATGGTGAGAGTGGACAACCTTGTCTTGTTTCTGATCTTAGAGGAAATGGTTTCAGTTTTTCACCATTGAGAATGATGTTGGCTGTGGGTTTGTCATATATGGCCTTTATTATGTTGAGTTAAGTTCCCTCTATGCCTACTTTCTGGAGGGTTTTTATCATAAATCGGTGTTGAATTTTGTCAAAAGCTTTCTCTGCATCTATTGAGATGATCATATGGTTTTTCTCCTTCAATTTGTTAATATGGTGTATCACACTGATTGATTTGCATATATTGAAGAATCCTTGCATTCCTGGGATAAACCCCACTTGATCATGGTGTATGATCCTTTTAATGTGCTGTTGGATTCTGTTTGCTAGTATTTTGTTGAGGATTTTTGCATCTTTGTTCGTCAGTGATATTGGCCTGTAGTTTTCTTTTTTTGTGACATCTTTGTCTGGTTTTGGTATCAGGGTGATGGTGGCCTCGTAGAATGAGTTTGGGAGTGTACCTCCCTGTGCTATATTTTGGAAGAGTTTGAGAAGGATAGGTGTTAGCTCTTCTCTAAACGTTTGATAGAATTCGCCTGTGAAGCCATTTGGTCCAGGGCTTTTGTTTGTTGGAAGATTTTTAATCACAGTCTCAAATTCAGTGCTTGTGATTGGTCTGTTTATATTTTCTATTTCTTCCTGGTTCAGTCTCGGAAGGTTGTGCTTTTCTAAGAATTTGTCCATTTCTTCCAGGTTGTCCATTTTATTGGCATATAGTTGCTTGTAGTAATCTCTCATGATCCTTTGTGTTTCTGCAGTGCCAGTTGTTACGTCTTGTTTTTCATTTCTAATTCTATCGATTTGAGTCTTCTCCCTTTTTTTCTTGATGAGTCTGGCTAATGGTTTATCAATTTTATCTTCTCAAATAAACAGCATTTAGTTTTATTGATCTTTGCTATTGTTTTCTTCATTTCTTTTTCATTTATTTCTGATCTGATCTTTATGATTTCTTTCCTTCTGCTAACTTTGGGGTTTTTTTGTTCTTCTTTCTCTAATTGCTTTAGGTGTAAGGTTAGGTTGTTTATTTGAGATGTTTCTTGTTTCTTGAGGTAGGATTGTATTGCTATAAACTTCCCTCTTAGAACTGCTTTTGTTGCATCCCATAAGTTTCGTGTCGTCGTGTTTTCATTGTCATTTGTTTCTAGGTATTTTTTGATTTTCTCTTTGATTTCTTCAGTGATCTCTTGGTTATTTAGTAGCATATTATTTAGCCTCCATGTGTTTGTATTTTTATAAACTTTTTCCTGTAATTGATATCTGGCCTCATAGCGTTGTGGTCGGAAAAGATACTTGATTTCAATTTTCTTAAATTTACTGAGGCTTGATTTGTGCCCCAAGATATGATCTATCCTGGAGAATGTTCCATGAGCACTTGAGAAGAAAGTGTATTCTGTTATTTTTGGATGGAATGTCTTATAAATATCAATTAAGTCATGGTGGGTTTTTTCTTCATTTGTTTTGTAATTTGGATTGTGAGCTAATGTTTGGGCTCTCTCTTTGGGAATGCTAATGAGACCGGGTTGAAGCCTCTATCTTCAATAAAGGATGTGCTTTTGCTTCCCAGTCCATATGGGTTGTATATAAGCTCTATGAGATAACAAAAATCTCATATAGTACTTTTTTTTTTTTTTTGGTAACCATAATAGTTCTTAGCACATCATTAGTCTCACTCCACTCTTTAGAAAAAAAATGACAGTAACAATATAAATGTATTGATATCATTTGTATATTGAAATTTGCATTTTGAAATGTGATTCCCACATATAAAAAATTCTGTCTTTGTATACTTTGAAATCATAAACTAGTTTCACACATATTGTAGATTTATACATAACATCAATTACAATGATATTTTTAAGCTTATACATTTATTTGACTTCCCCATATTTTAAGTGTTGTAGTTATAAGGTATGCCTATGGTATTTATGAAAGCCCATTTGCCAACTTCATCCTTTTTTTGTTAGGGATCACCCTGCCAGTGTATAAGACAGTCCTGTGCACAAGAAATGTAGAAAGGGAAGTGATCACAAAAATGAGAGATAGAAAATATATAGGAGAAAGGAATATATGTGGAAGAAAGAAAATAGATATGTGTGAGAAAGGGAAAAAGAAGAAAGGAAGAAATAAATAAGGGTTTTTAAATTTTCAAAAGGAAGGAGTAAACAGGGGTTTTCAAATGAAACATTTGATATTTTAATATTTTTTCAAGTAACCGGGGGTATTTGCTAAAAAATCAGATGTCCAGGACCAGACTACAGAGATAATGAGTCAATAGATCTGAGAGCAGACTCAGGAATCTAGGTTGGCCTTAGACAACCATTTAAGAAATACTGGAATAGGGTGAGCACAGAATTAGAAAATGACACATGGTGGGGACTGGAGACATGCCAATAACAACTGACAAAGGAGCAACTTCTGCCACAGGATGCTAACCCTAGCTATTTGGAGATCCTCTGAAAGATACTAGTGTATGTCTAGACTCAAAATCTCTTTCTGTGTTTTCAGTACCATCCACAGTATGTAAGATAACACTCCGACCAATGATATTCACCTGAGCCATAAAATGACCTCACAGTGAAAGAAATAAGAAACAGGCTTTCTAAAAAGTATTATCAGCATTATTCTTAAATGCAGTAAAACAGCCCACACTAGAAACAGAGCTGATTTTTCTCACATGAGGGATTTAGTGTGTTTAAATTATCACAGGGTGATAGAAACAGAGCTGATTTTTCTCACATGAGGGATTTAGTATGTTTAAATTATCACAGGGTGACCTGGCTAAGGGAACATGGCCCACCTCCTGCAGATCACTATGTCCTGGGATGAGGATGCTGGCCTCCTTGCACTGCCGAACTCCGAAGAAGTTTCAAAACACCGAGGGGCAACAGATACACAATCTGGGCACTATGAGAAGTCTGCAGCTTGGTTCATTTTCTTAGGTGGGCTTAGGATACAGGCTGAAATCATGGAGTAGGGCTAAAATCAGAAAGAGAAGAGGTAAGTGGTGTCAGGCTGAGTGTCACAATTACAGTCTAGGGGAAGGATCCATACCTTAAAATGACAATAATCAAGGAAAGCCCCAATATGACTGGAATAAGCCTGAAGGCTTATTGTTCACTTATTATGTCTCCTCTGAATTCCAGACCACTGTAGGTTTTAATCTTATAATTATGGGGGGAAAAATGATCTTGCTCACTTCAAGACCGTAAATCAACCCTAGATCTCTCTAGTTGACTTGTCTATGGAGAATGGACTTTGGGTATTCTAAGTGGTTTTGAAAATCTTTTTTTTGTAGGTATGTGATATGTGATTTGTCTTTCCTTGGTTTCTTGGTAGGAAGCAATTGTCGTAAATTTCAAATAGCGTGCAGAAGTGCACCTTGTGGGAAAGAAGGTGGATTTTTGCCAGTGTGTTTGCTTTTGTGGGCATCTCTGTTCAGGTTTATTAGTGATAACAGTTCCTTTCAAGTGCGTGGAAAGTGTTAAGGTCTGTAAAATGATTACGAGACAGTAGGCAAGAAATTGAGAAAAAGCCATAGCTCCTGGGAATAAGCCGCGAGAAGATCTAGTAGTGAGTGCTCCCTAGGATTGCTGTCAGGGTACAAGGTGAGGACCGTGGGCAGAGAAGTGGGAGCGGTGCGGGAGAGAGGGCTGGAGGTAGCTAATACATATATACACGCACAAAGCCCATACAGCTTCACTCATGCCAGGTTAAGAAATGCCTTTTCCAGAAACTCAATAAAGAAATGGTATGCATTCAGGAGCTGTTTCAACCTGTCCACACCCTACCCTGACTTCCCCAGAAAACAGGCAAGCAAGGAGGCAAATGCCATTGCCAAGCCTCCGGTCTCTGGCGTCCAGCTCCCTCAGCTCCCAGAGCACAGCCCCACAGGGCGTCACACGGAGCTGTCTCCAAGAGTGGGCACTTCACCGACCTGAGGCAAAGTTTTGATCTGATTCGCTCCAAATCTGTCTGCCACTCGAGAGTGGGGTTTGGCCGCAGAGGCTCCCCGACAGCACCAGGCAGAGGCTGAGCAGCAGCAGCAGTAATAGCCTGCAGGCTGAGTAAGGAGCCAGCCTCCGCCGCCTCCTCCTCCTGCCGGCGCGGAGTCGGCAGCACAGCCAGTCCCTATCGCTGTCACGCCGCCAGCAGCGCTGCCCCTCCGCCCCCCACCCCACCCCGCACGGCCCCAACCCTCTCACTGTTATTTGCTTGACTGACCCGAAATGGGCAGGAGGGAGGACCTGGGCGCCTGAGGGAGGGGAGGGCGTTGGCCCGCCCACTCCTTCCCCTCTGGCTCTCTGCGGCAGCTTCTCCTCCTCATTGGTCACACACTTGTGTCCATCACCTCCACGCGGCCCCGGGATTGGCAGAAGGCGCACTTCGGGGCGAGGAGGGCAGAGTGACTCCGCTGGTCTCCGGCGCCTCATCTTTCCCTCCACCCCCCCTTTTCAACGTCCACCCACCTCTCCCCAGCCCCCACTCCATTCCCCCTCCCTCTTCCAGTTCGCGGCAGTGTCCTTAGAAGACTCATTGGGCCAGGGGCGAAGCCAGCCGCCTATCGAGCCGCGCCGTCATTGGCCGACGCCCACGCCCGTCGGAGCGGCAGGCTTCGCCACTGGGTGGCTTCTCTCCGCTCCCCGCCCCCCCCAAAGCCTCGCCCTCTCAGTCGCCTCCTCCCCTCCCGGCTCTTCCACTGCCCCCTTTCCCCTCCCGTCCCCGCCGCGTCTCCCCTGTCCAGCTGGGCGGGGACTGCTGTACGACTCTGTAAAGTCTGTGAGTCACTGCACAACCTATCAATCCAATTAAATGTCTTGAGCGAGCGGAGCAGGCGGTGCTGCTGCCGCCGCCGCTCGCCCAGCCGCGGCCGCCCCTTCTCGCAGCGCCCCTCTGATCCATGGATGTCTGTACTTGTTACGGTGTAACCTCCTCCTCCGCCTCCTCCGCCTCCTCCTCAGGAGCCGCTGCAACTTCCCCTCAGCCAGCCTCCTCCTCTGCTTGGGGACTGCAAAGGCATGGGATAGACCTAGAGCCACTTCTCTCTCCCCTCCAGCGCTCGCTCAATCTCCCCCCTTTAAATTAAAGTCTGTTCCTCGCTCCTCGTCGTTTTAGGGATTTATTTGTCAGTCTTTAATTTCCCCTGATTTTATTTTCCCTCCCTGGGGCAGGGGGGTCGCAGGGGCCGGCGGGTTTATTTTAGGGAAGGGGCTCTCCCCCCTCCCCCCGTTTCTCCTTGTCCCTTTGCGGCCGTGACTTGATTTTCCTGCCCCTCTCCGCTCCCACCGCTCGAACTCAGCGTCCTGCACTCGAGTGACGCAGCGACACCCTCCGCCCACAGCCCAGACGTCCCCTCCCTCGCTGCCACCCCGACCCGTCTCGGGGCTGGACCCGGTGCCGACTTCACAGAAGGGTGAGTACCGTGTTGGGTTGGCGGAGGGGTGGGGGAGAATCTAGAAAAATGTTGTAGCCGGTCCACTCTGGGGAGGGCAGGGATCACGTTGTGGGCTGGAGGTTCCCGGTCAGGCGTGGATTTGAGGTGGCGACTGCCTCCCCCTCTCTCCCTCTTCCCCCGCCCCTCGACTCCTTATTCACCAGCCTTGCTGTATTTCTAGGTATTGCCAGACTTCCACCATCGGGGCATTATAATGCTTATAAAATGAGCTGTAATGGCATGCTTTCTTAGTGAGTGGTCATAGTCAGCGATGTGATCTGATAGACTGTATGACCTGCAAAAAGTGCAAAACGGCTAATGGGTAGGTTTTCCTCCAAATCAAAGTTAAACTTTTATTCAATAAAGGCAAAGTAAAAGGCATTTCTAATTTGAATGTGTGGAGATAGACCAAGAGAAGACAGGTTGCCTTGTGGCATGGCTTACTATTTTTATTTTAAAATAGTTCTTTAGGTTCCCTTTTGAAAAAAAAACGTGAATTCAGTATTAACGTAAAGGTTATGAAGTCTTTGAACCTGTTGGAGGAAAGCAAGGTAAGATGCAAATCCAGCTTGACACTTCATCTTTAGCTCACCTCTATTCTAGCAAGAAATTAAAGCACAGAATTTTTTATTTCTCCGTCACTGGGCACAGTGGGGTGTGCTAAGGACAAAAAGGGCTTTTTTTTTCTTTTGATATCTCTCTTTTGTATACTTGATTGCTCTTGAACAAAATTTTAATTTGGTCTCTTGGTTGTTGGCTGTTCAAAAGTACACATACTTGGCCATATATGCTTTATGAGAATCTTGCCCTATGCATCTTTAATATTTAATTTGAGATAAAACTAAAAATTATGAGAAATAGTTACTCTGAATCACCTTCTGAGGTCGCTTTTGAGAATTCAGCCTATTTTAAATGGTATTCCTCTTTTTGAATCAAGTTCTGGTCTAGTTGTCCACAAGATTCAAATTAGGCCAAACCAAACATGTTTTGAAATATTAAAGTACAGGAAAGGCCTTTTAGTAGTTCATTCTCTCCTTCTCTTTCAGACTAACCAGAATAAGTTGTTGATAAATTTAATTGTAAAGAATAGACTGTTCCTGTACTGAAATCTGCCAAGTTTCTACAGAAAGATTTCTTTTTAAAGAGGAGAAATGTGTTTATGATCAGCCAAAAGTAGTAAAGTTGACTCAAATGTAAGTGCTGTCATAAGGAAATGCTTATCATAAGCCCCAAAACCTTGCAGAGTGTTTCAGGAAGACTTATACAAAGTCTTTTTCAATTGTTTAATAAATTTCATCATGTGGTCTTTTTCTTGAGTGTAAGACTGAATTATTGAGAGGCCTCAGAGCAGAGGCGAGCCATGCTGCCTGAGTTTGAATCTAGCCATCATCCCTGGATGGCTGACTGACCTTAGGCAGGTTTCAAACCTGGCCTGTGAGGGTTTTCTCCTGTAAACGGGAGGAATGACTTTTCATCTAAGGGTTGCCTTAAGGATAAGTGAGAGGGCACAAGTCACAGAGTACTTGCTGTTAGCTGCCCCATCATCATCATCACCATCATCATCGTCCACTGAGAGGATGTGTGATGTAGTGGTTAAGGGGACCTCCACAACCAGACTGTAGGTTCAAGTGCCAGCATTTCCTCTTGCTATCCTTGTGATCTTGGCCGCGGTAACCTCAGATTCCCCATCTATAAAGCCGGGATAATAGAAAAATTTACTTCACAGGGTTACTGTGAGGTCGGAATGAGTTTGACTAGTATTTGGTACATCTTTTCAAGTTTAATTCTGTTTTGTTCCTGGTATGTCTTGAAACAATGGGTGACTATATTTTTTAGAACTATACTTTTTGTAAAGATAAAGAATTATTGCTGTCATTGAAATAAGCAGAGTTCTTATCCATATGCATGATGATTTATGGGATTTATACTTTTCAATGAAGTTTATATGAGTTTTTATGAAAGTTAGTTATTGGATGAGTTGAGTTGATCACTCTTTCATTTAAACTTGCATAACCAAATATATATACCACTATTATAACGATACCTATCACATATTTGCTGTTATATGTGGTTTTCTCCTCTACTAAACAGAAAGCTCTTTGAGGGTAAGGATAGTGTTTCATTCATAATTTAATCCCAGGTGCCCAGCAGAGTACCTGGTACATAGGTAGGCTTAATGAATGCTGTAGAATGAATTAAACAATGTTATTCTCAATTTGTTTATGAGTAGTTGAATGACATTGTAAGTGATATTATGGAGCATACTATTATTTGTGGTGTTGAGTTGAATTTTTATGTTCTCAATTACTATTTTTGGAAATAGAGAGGGAATTATAACATGTTTTATTAGGAAAATATTTTTCATTTTGAAGATTGAACTTAAAATATTCTGAAAAGTACATATCAAATGTCTTCTTTTAATACCTGATGTGGCCATTTTTTTTACTGAAAGAATTTCTGACTCCCAAACTTCCTGTAACTAAGTTGGATGTTATTATAATTAATACAAATTATACAAATTAGATTTTGAATGTCCCAAATGATGATGTGATGTTATTATTGGCTTCAGAATCAATAATAATAAAGAGAATTTATCAAACCAACACTGTGGAAATAAAACGATATCATTTCCTTAAGGACCTAAGCTTTATTTCTCTTTCCATTCAAGAGTGAAATTCTTTCTCTTGAGCAGTCTTAATAAATAATTAGCTTTTCAAATAGGCGTAGTAAATAGTGTAATAGGAATCATAAAGAAGGTATATGTAATTAGCAAATAAAGCACTTTAACTAACTTCACCACACACTTAATAGGCATTACACAATTGGGTAATGTATCTTTTTAAATAAGAAAATTGATCGGGCCTGTGCCACCCGCTTCATTTATAGAATCATTCTGCTTTACTTGTCAATAAAACCAGTTTAATTACTGTGCCCTCTGAAATTATAAAAATGCAAGAAATATCTTTCATGAAAGAGATATCCTCAGTAACAAAATCTGAAAACTAATCTACTCAGAAGTGTTACAGAGTTCCATAACATTGTTAAAACTTTTCAAATATGTGAACTATCTAGTACAATGTGGGTACTTTTGTATATATAATCCTTTGTCTAACCAAATCATCAGTTATCCAGTTTAGTTGAATATATTGCATTTTCACTGGCTAAAACAATTAACTTTTTAAAAGTCGCCCTTTTTTGTTCATACACTTTTAAAGCAGCTAATCTAAAATGAAACTTTAAAAAATTAATTTATAGGCACTTAGAAACTACACTTAAGTGTCTGGTCTGCAAGATGAAAGGTCTGAGTTTTTGCTTAACACATTTCAGCATGACTATTTCTGTAGCTTATATCTCTTTCATTTAACATTTTTCGTTTTGGTGAAGACATTTGAGTATTTATTGATATTTTACAGATGTATATAATGTCTTCAACTTTTAAAAAAGTGAAGTTTCTGATGAAGAATTGTCTGGGGGTTTCCCTGGTGGCGCAGTGGTTGAGAGTCCGCCTGCCGATGCAGGGGACACGGGTTCGCGCCCCGGTCTGGGAAGATCCCACATGCCGCGGAGCGGCTGGGCCCGTGAGCCATGGCCGCTGAGCCTGCGCGTCCGGAGCCTGTGCTCTGCGACGGGAAAGGCC